GCATAAGACTGACATGACACCTTCATAATCATGACATTCATGTTTATGACAAGTTTCATTCGCTGAATTATGACATTTTGAATGCAAATATGACATTGTTTGAGATGTCTTTGTTATGACACCTTGACATAAACAAATCCATCATAACCTGTCAGTATCTTTGTCTTGACAACTTGACATTACTAAGACAACACAACCTGTCATAAACATGACATAGCAGATCATAACTATCAAACTTAAGAAACCACCTAGCTTTATTGGTTAACATTACATTAAACATTACAGTGGTTGAGTTTGACATTGGCTGTCATGAAGCCATTATAACATTTTAGGTATTAGTACCACTTAATAACAATTAGTACCACTATAGTTGAGGTCACGAAAAATATTCATGACACAGTTAAAATGGTCTCATTTAATGTTGTTAACCCATAATGTAATGTTAACCCATAAAGCTAAGTGCTTTCTTAAGTTTAATAATTAATCTGCTATGTCATGTTTCTGACATTTATGTCTTGGTAATGTCAAGTTGTCATAACAAAGACATCTCAAACAATGTCATATTTGCATTAAAAATGTCATAATTCAGCGAATGACACTTAATGACAGTTGTCACAAACAAGCATAAAACCTCCTTCATATTCATGACATGTGTCATGTCATGGTTATGAAGGTGTCATGTCAGTCTTATGCACACCCCTTCAAGTGTTACTATATAATATTTGTATGCTTAATATATAGATGTATGATTAAATTATGCATCTATGCACATATACAGACACATTCATATATATATATATACAGTATATTGCTTTTCCGGGGTATATATGAGAGACGACAACTATTCCTCTGAAGTTTCAGTCCTGAAGGTTTACATGCCCGACAGCTGGCAGTGAAGGACAATCAATGCTAGCCCACAGTCACGTTGTTTTTGTAATATCGCCTGGTGACAGCACTGTTGAGCGGGTCTAGGGAATGTGAACATGTGTGTCTACATGAACATTTCACACTGACAGCTTGTTTCTACATGACTTCCTCCATCGCTATGAGTTTCAGGTGTTGTTGTCGCCAAAGGTCATAATGCAATGAAGCCGCACACTGTTAAGGGTTCTTGCAGGTCGCAGTAAACAAAAAACTGTTTTTTGACAATGTCTCATTCATATGTCAGATGTGATATGTGTCTATTTGGCTTGCCATATTATATTATTATTATTATTATATTGCCATATTATGCAAGTTTGTTTATAAATTGCAATGTAAAAGCACACATTTACAGCAGTAAAAATCTGTCAGTTAGCAGTATCTAGGGCTGTTTATTTTTGGTACATGAATTTGTTCAGAGAAAACAGTGTTTTCCACAATCAGAGTAAGAAATAAGACTTGAATCACTGAAAATAATGTTTGGTTAACCATCAGAAGTGTGTTTTTTCCACCTCAGTTAAGGAGGATACGACTAAATATGAAATGAGCTGTTTAGCCATAAAGAATGTTCATTTGTTTTGAAGATTTCTGCATAAGCTATTAAAGCTTTAGTAACCCTTTTTTATTATTGTAAGCTGCTGTTTTAAAGGTACAGTAAGTTTAAAACAACAGTTTTAAGTATTTTTTTAATACATTTAGTCATTTTTGAGAAACACTGTTGTATTTTAAATAAACCGACACACACCCCTCCCTTCATTGCTCCGCCCCCAAACTGCACCAACACACAATGCAAGAGTGGATGTCTCTTTATCATAGCTGAAGCGAGGCAAATAATGTTTAAATAAAGTGAAGAAACGCTTCTGTCTCAAACCTGAATGACATTTTAAGTGTTTTTATTAGCCTCACTATTATCATAGATATGTAAAAGCTTGTTTTTGGACCATATTTCCTCCAGGTATCCAGTGATCCTGTCCATTGAGAATCACTGCAGTGTCCCTCAGCAAAAGAAGATGGCTCAGTATCTGACGGAAGTGTTTGGTGATAAACTGGACATATCCTCCATCCCCACAGACCCACCTGGAGTCCTGCCTTCACCTGAAGACCTGAAAGGCAAAATTCTCATCAAGGTAACTGTCTAAAACATTTTTTATTTTGCACATTCATTCAAAAGCTGCAAACTTATAGTCACTTTCAGATGATGACTGCACTCATGATGTAAAACAAGCATGATGTAAAGCAATTTTTTTTAGAATATGTAAACATATGCTTTCAATTTATTTTTATGAAAATTAAAAAAAAGCTATTTTATTGTTTTTGTGCTTAGTTCTTTTCTCTGAAAATGATATATCATGTGTAATCTTTTACCAAAGAATAAGAGAAATTTCTGCTGTTGTTGGTTGTTTTCTAGCAAAACCGTTTAGTCTTATTGATATGAAATATGTTTTCTGAAGTCCAGCCCTCTTCTGTGCTTTTAATAAAGTGTGAGGTTTGGAAATTGGGCCGTAGATAGAGCAGCTCGGCAAGCGAGTTGGCGCTATAATTGGAAGGCAGACTGACGTTCCCACTAGAAAGTGAATACTGAACTGTAAACTGGGCCAGCCGGTCGTATTGACAAATTTCTCGGCACAGACTGTGAATCATGGAGCACGTGGCTTCTGGGAGCCCATAAAACAGACTACTGTATGTGTTATAATGCTTTCTCATCGCAGCACAATCAATAAATTTGACCTGAATTCACCCAAAAATGAAAATTACGTCATTAAAGGAGTTGGTCACTTTTCAAAAAACTTTTGCTGATAATTTACTCACCCTCATGTCATCCAAGATGTCCATGTCTTTCATTCTTCAGTCGAAAAGAAATGAAGGTTTTTGATGAAAACGTTCCAGCATTTTTCTCCATATAATGGACTTCAATGGGAACCAAACTGTTCAAGGTCCAAAAGACACTTTCAGTACAAACTGTTCAAAGGGCTTTGAACGATTCCAGATGATGAATAAGGGTCTTATAAAGCGGAACGGCCCCTCATTTAAAAAAAAAAAAACCCAAAGTTTAAGTTTTATAAGCTCAAATGCTCGCCTTGCTCTGTTCTGTGACGCGCGTTCGTGACTCTCCTGTTCTAACTCGTTCATCAAAATGAACAAATCTTTTTTCAAGTCAATTCGTTCATTTCGTTCGGTGAACCAAATGACTCGGAAAAAGATTTGTTCATTGTGATGAACGACTTCGAACAGGAGAGTCACGAACGTGTGTCAGAGAACTAAGGCGAGCATTTGAGCTTATAAAACTTAAACTTTGTTATTTATTTATCAAATGAGCGATCCTTTCGCTTGATAAGACCCTTATTCGTCGTTGTCACGGTGCGGGTGCAGGCGGAAGAACAGGCTGAGTTCAGAATCTCGATAAAGAGACATTTAATTCAAGAATACAGGCAGGAGGACAGGGTTTCACAGCGTAACATTCAACATTGACCGACAAACACCGACTGAAGGAGGGAGAACTAAATACACAGGGGAATCAGGACTAAATGAGGTGAACACAGGTGGAAATGATAATGAACAGACGAGGAACAGGTGGCTGATGAGGGAGTGAGATCAGGAGAGGAGACAAAAGGAGCCGGGGAAGCGTGGTGCAGATGACGGGACAAACAGGTGAAGACGAAGACTGTGACATCACTCCCCCCTCCCGGTAGGCGTGACCTCACGCCGTAACATCAGCGGGGAGGGGGGTGGGCGCCCTGGAGGCTGTGGAGGACGTGGTCAGGAGCAGGAAGCCCCCCAGGGCGGAGCAGGATGAGGGCGTGGCCAGGGCGGAACAGGATGAGGGCGTGGCCAGGGCGGAGCAGGATGAGGGCGTGGCCAGGGCGGAGCAGACTGAGGGCGTGGCCAGGGCGGAGCAGGCTGAGGGCGAGACCAGGGCGGAGCAGATGGAGGGCGAGACCAGGGCGGAGCAGATGGAGGGAGGACCCCTGGTGGAGCCGATGGTAGTGGGGCTGACAACACCAGGGGGCCGACTGACAGGGGCGGAGCAGATGGGAGAGGAGACCAGGGTGTAGCTGAGGGACAGATGACATTGGGTGCTGAGGAGGGACCGAGGGACCAAGGTGACACCGTAGGCTCTGGTGACTGAAGTGACGACAGGGGCACAGAGGGACACGGTGAGGTCAGAGGGCGTGAGGGCTGACGGGTGACTGGAGGGAGTGAGGAGTCCAACTGAACCGGAGGGGTGACAAAACGGGGCGGAGCCAAAGGAAGGAAGTCCATAGGTGAGGGGAGGATGACGAGGGAGTGAAGGGAATCCGGAGGGTCGAGGGAGCCTGGCCGAGCTGGTGGACTGAGGGGCCATGGAGGAGCTGAGGGAGGTAGGAGCCACGGGGGAGCTGATGGGACAGAGGGCCGAGGAAGTGTCCAAGTGGAGGCGGTGTGAGGCGAAAACCGGGGATCCCCAGACCAAGCTGGTTTCGGGGAGCTAAAGGGCAGGAAAGAAGATGGAGGACAGATGAGAGGAGGCGGGAGAGGGAGGCTGGGTGGGATCCTGGTCTCTGGCGCCGGCTGGACGGTCTCTGGCGCCGGCTGGACGGTCTCAGGCGCTGGCTGGACGGTCTCAGGCGCTGGCTGGACGGTCTCTGGCGCTGGCTGGACGGTCTCTGGCGCTGGCTGGAACACTGGGCCCCCCCCAAAAAAATATTTGGGTAGAGTCCCCAGATGAAGGGCAGATGGGGAGTGGACGGTCTCAGGCTGGGTGAGGCTGGGCGGAACCAGCAGAGAAGAGCATACAGTCTCTGGCTCAAAAGGACGGACGGTGAGCGCGGGCTCGGCAGGGCTGACGGTGAGCGCGGGCTCGACAGGGCTGACGGTGAACGCAGACTCGACAGGGCTGACGGTGAACGCAGACTCGACAGGGCTGACGGTGAGCGCGGGCTCGGCAGGGCTGACGGTGAGCGCAGACTTCCGGGGAACGAGGCGTAACCGGGGTCGCAGGACCGGGTAAAGGATCCCCCGGAAGATCACGGCGTCCATGTTGCTTTTTTTGGGTCGGTCAATCTGTCACGGTGCGGGTGCAGGCGGAAGAACAGGCTGAGTTCAGAATCTCGATAAAGAGACATTTAATTCAAGAATACAGGCAGGAGGACAGGGTTTCACAGCGTAACATTCAACATTGACCGACAAACACCGACTGAAGGAGGGAGAACTAAATACACAGGGGAATCAGGACTAAATGAGGTGAACACAGGTGGAAATGATAATGAACAGACGAGGAACAGGTGGCTGATGAGGGAGTGAGATCAGGAGAGGAGACAAAAGGAGCCGGGGAAGCGTGGTGCAGATGACGGGACAAACAGGTGAAGACGAAGACTGTGACATCCGTCTGAAATCGTTTAAAGCCCTTTGAACAGTTTTTACTGAAACTGTCTTTTGGACCTTGAACCATTTGGTTCCCAGTAAAGTCCATTATAAGGAGAAAAATCCTGGAATGTTTTCATCAAAAACCTTAATTTCTTTTCGACTGAGGAAAGAATGACATGGACATCTCGGATGTCACGAGGGTGAGTAAATTATCAGCAAAAGTTTACCAAAGTGAACTACTCTTTTAATGATGCACCCTCATGTCGTTCCAAGCCCGTCAGACCTCCGTTCATCTTCAGAACACAGTTTAAGATATTGTAGATTTAGTCCAAGAGTTTTCTGTCCCTCCTTTGAAAATGTATGTACGGTATACTGTCCTTATCCGGAAAGAAAATAAAGACATCATCAAAGTCACCAGTGGGTTAGTTAGAATTTTTTTGAAGCATCACAAATACATTTTGGTCCAAAACTAACAAAAACTGCTACTTTATTCAGCATTGTATGCTCTTCCGGTTCTCTTGTGGATCCGCCTTTAGTGATGATGAAGACGTAAGACAACTGCTGCTGTAATCTGGTGACAATACAATGCTGAATAAAGTCGTAGTTTTTGTTATTTTTGGACCAAAATGTATTTTCGATGCGTCAAAACATTCTAAGTAACCCACTGGTGTCAATGGACGACTCTGATGATGCCTTAATTTCCTTTCTGGACAAGGACAGTATACCGTACACACATTTCCAACGGAGGGACAGAAAGCTCTTGGACTAAATCTAAAATATCTGAAATGAGGGTGAGTCATTAATGACATAATTTTCATTTTTCAGTGAACTAACCCTTTACATTTTTTCAACTCTACCCAAAAATGAAAATTCTGTCACCACCCTCATTTCGTTTCAAACTTGTATGAATTTCTTTCTTCTGAGGAACACAAAAGAAGATGTTTTGAAAAATGCTGGTAACCGTTCCCATTGACTTCCTTTTGCATGGACAAAAAACAATTCAATGGAAGTCAACGGGAACCAAAACTCTGGTTTTCAACATTCTTCAAAATATCTTCTTTTGTGTTCCGCAGAAGGAAAAAATTCATTTAGGTTTGGAACAACATATGGGTGAATAAATAATGAAGGAATTTCTATTTTTGGGTTAGAGTATCCCTTTAAGTTTAATTGCTAAATTTTGTTTCATTTTACATAAACAAAGTAGTGCAAAAGCTTACAATACTTTAAATTTAATCCCTGATGATGAAAATCAAAAAAAAAATAATAATTGGGTAGAGACGTAAATGGATTTTAAAGGGTGTTAATGCAACGGCTAATAAAAGCAGCAACCAACAGCACACACTAAAACTAATTACAGACATAGTTTGACCCTTTATTGATTTACCCATTTCTGTCTTATCTATCACTGGCCTCTTTCTGGTAATGTCCCTGTCTATGTCAGTGCTGCATCTCTGTAGTCAGTACACACATAAGTGCTGTTCTGTGCGCTTTAATCATACTTTTTACAGATAAGAACCGGTATGTCCCCTGGGTTTTTGTCTTGTAAGATGCTGTTACTTTTATAACACCCCTGGGCCAGAAACGTCCTCTACAGAAATGCAGATAAAAATGCATTTAGTATTGCAAGCAGCCAGTCCTATTATATGTACTTGCATCATGCGTTCGTGCAGTAGCAAAACTCACTCGTAGGGGCGATAACGTTTCTTACAAATGCCTGGCTGCTTCCAAAATACCATACTCTCTAAATAAGTTCTTTTGATTAAGTAATTACTTGGAGACCGCT